TCCAAAACGCAAAACGCAAAATCCAAAACGCAAAACGCAAAATCCAACACGCAAAACGTAAAATCAAAAAACGCAAAACGTAAAATCCAAATCGAAAAACTCGAAAACGCAAAACGCAAAACCCAAAACGCAAAATCCAAAAACGCAAAAAACAAATCCAAAGACACATAACGCAAAAACTTAAAAACAAAAAACAAAATCAAAAACGCATAATCCCAAAAACACAACACACAGCGCAAAGCCCAAAAAAACACAACGCAGGATCCAAAACGCAAAACACAAAACCAAAAGCGCAAATAACAACACACTATATATACACACAAATTAATTCAATATAGAAAACAACATAAAGACACGAAACTGCACAACTGCAAAACACAAACCAAAACGAACAATCCAAACGCAAAAAAGCAACGCCCAAAATTTGTGGAAAACCGGACAGCCTTCTGTTAGAAAAACAACAAACACAAAGCCCGGGCCAGAATTGATGTCTTTTGCGCATTGAGCCTGACATGACTTGAATGGGTGTGCCTTCCAGGTTCAAGGCAATTTAAGGACAGCAGATATTTTAGGTAGGACATGGCGTTGCTTTGGCTATGGCCTGTTTTAGCTACTTGTGTGGAAATGTATTGGGCACGGGCTTTTTTAGCTGCGCTGTGGGCAATCGGTGTGCATTGGCTGTGGCATTTGCGCCCGGCACAAAAGTTCCAAGCGCATCCTCCGTCGTGGGATGCACCACCAGTCGCCGTTCTTCAACGACTTCCGCCCCCACCGGCTGACGCAGTGAGTATGATGATCCTCGGACCTTTGCCACCTTCACCGGCCGAGGGTTCAGATTCAGATGATAGCGGGTGGGAATTGAGCAGTCCGGGTGGCACTCGGAGCCGGAAGGTTCGCGTCAAGACACGCAAATCCTGGCGTGAGATTTAGATTTCATTGATGTTGACTGTGGTCATATATGTCCAGTATATAATTAGTAATTAGTACAATCAATACTGCAAGAAATGGACAGGATGCAGCCATCAGGCAGGCATTGCGGCACATGGGGTAAGTCTAAAAGAAGCTCATCTCAGTTGCTACATGTTTCCGAAGGTGTAGGGGGTTCGTGAATTGATATGGAATTTGTGTGGCTTTTTCGATCTTTTTCGTTGTACATGGCGGGTGCTTTTGATTTGCTGAAAGTAACAGCCGGCAAGCAATTCGACCTCCGCCGCCTGCAACTTTTCTATAGCTTTGGGTCGGATCATCGTCGGGGAATTCGCTTGATTCGACTCACCAGGGCCAGGGTGACGCGCATGCCAGCGTGAGGGCCATGAGACGTGTGCAATCCTTGCTGAACTTCTTCAACGCTCAGTGTGAGGAGCTTGCCGATGAGGACGGTGATGGTCGGGTGGAGGACAGGAATGAAGCTGCTGCGGAAAGACGAAGACAGCCAGTGTTCCGTCGTGGGTCCAAAGCTCTCATGGCCTTTGTTCGCCTAAAGAAGCATTCTGGAAAGCGCAAAACATGTTTGCTCATTTGCTGAATGTTTTTTGTTTGGGGTCCAGTGGGCGCAAATAGCTTCTAATTTTGCAACTGCCGCGGATGGGCAGCCGGCTCGTTATGGAACCATAAATTAGTAATGCACTCAGCCCAGTTGACCCAGGCAAGTGAAGAAGAAGTCGGCAGATGCCTCCAGCGCAATAGCTGCTCCTGGGCAGGTTAGCAAGCGCCACGCAATCCGAAAGGGCGATTTGCCTCGCGATGCTTGGAACGAAAACATGAGAGTTCACAGTTTACATTTTGATTTGAAGTAGCGGGACAGGTTTCTCAACACCAGGCGGGAATGGAAGTGCCCGAAACGGGAGGCTTCTTGTGGGTCATTTGCGACGTGCAGGCTTCTACCGACCAAACACATGTCTCCTCTCAACCGCTTTTATCATTTGTCTATATTTGATTCATTTTACAGTACGCTAGCCACCTGAACCTTGCAAGGAGATCAAGAAGCCGCGCGGCGGGTCTGGATCCCATAGGCAGTGGACTCCTTCAGGTTTGCTACGCGTAACGAAACTTGGCAGTGTCTAGTATCTTGCTTGGCCCATCAATGTAACATTTAAGTGGGCAACTGACATGTCAAGTTTTGATCCGGCATGTGTCATTAACATGGTAGGGGCGGTACGGGCTCAAGATCACTTTTTCCAGGTTTGGGCTCACTGTATCCGAATATATAAGATTTTTTTGGTCTGAGTGAGTGTTGATGCGAATATTGGCTGAGGTTTGGCCACCCTGCATCAGAGAAAGTCAAAAGTTCAAGTGCTATGGCTTGTCCATCACAGTTCAGTTGCAGAAGCGCTTCGTTCTGGTTCCGGGCATGCCACCTTCATGTGCAGCGAGCTACCTGGAACAAACAAATTTGATAACCGCATGGGCATAGGGTCACTTTTTGAGGCGGCCTTGCCAATCAGCAAATCCCCAACCCTATCAACCCCAGCCGCCGCCAAAGCGAGAGCGCGGGCAATTTGTTGAACCAGCATGGCCAACCCAGGCTCGCAATGCAATTGCCGAGCTTATCATGCAGAGGCAAAAAACTGGACTTGCGGCGGTGCAAAGCTCTGAGTGCATGTGCAAGAAGTTGCTCGGCATATTTTTGGGGCGGTGTATGTTGTATGTTTAAAATTTGATAAGTGAAAATAATTGTTCATCGCTGTATGAATGAACAAGCGGATGCCAATCCGTGTACCTGATGCGCCAGTTAATTGAGTCTGCTTGGTCTCAGGCTTCAGGTCGAGGTAGACGAGACTGGGCAATCCTTGCAACTCCGAGCCCACGATACTATGGAGAAGGTGCGGGGCGTTTTCCCGGTTCTCATGATGCGGTGGTGCGCTTCTTGGTGGACGCGATGCGTTGCAATCTTGCACCATGGCCAACGAGTCCTTTTTAGTTTTCAGGGTTCTCTTGCCAGTCACCACTATGCAGACTATGCAGTGCATGGGTTTTATACATGAAAGCTGCTTGACACAGGTATATAATATATATATATTATAATTATAGTTATAAGTATAAGATCATTTACTTACAGGGTACACGCTGTGTACGTGAGAGAGTCTCTTTATGGAAATAAAACAGTTTGTGGTCCTGGCTCTGGTCTTACCTTTTCCGACGCAAAACAGAAAAGGCATGAGCCAATCGTCATCCCACCATCCGTACTGCAGCGCGACGATGCAGAGCACACTTGGGCAGCTCTCAATGAAAGAGGGCCGATGAAGTGGAGGCCTTATTTGTTGCAACTGCGACGCAAACAAAAACAAGAGTTGCGTGTTAGTGGCAGCTCGGTACCAGGTGAATTATTTGAAGAGGGCGCTAGGTTAATTGGAGCGGTGCCAGCCTTTGAGGAGGGCAGTAGATTCATTGGAGCAGTACCATCTTTTTGATTCAGTTGGCGCTAACTGAAAGAGTTCGTAACGAGGGCTGGGATTTTTGGGATTGGGCCGAGAGTTCGCTTTGAGGATCTGGGATTTCTTCGACCGAGCTGCCTTCGGCCTTTTGTTCTTGGTGACAGACCGGCACGAGGTCAACGGCGCTGTGTTCAGGCATGCTGTTACCACCAGACCCTCGCAAACCATTGCAGCGCCTGAGCTTTTTCAGCGCTAGTCATTATAGAGCACTATACAGAAGGCCTCCCAACAGTACTCCGTGGGACTTGGGTTCCTAGCTAGCCAAAGTGACTATATCTATATTAATCCCGAATGCCTATTAAAAAACGGACCCCTATTAGAAAAAAGTCATGTCGGAAACCCCTAAATACGGTTTATATTTGTTTTTAAATTACCGCCCTTTCAAGCCGCTACTAAACTACCAACATTGCCGACTTTGGAGGAGTTTTTTTATTAGGTTCCAAAAACAACCGTAACTGCCCACCTCTGTCCGCCCTGTCTATCCACCATGACACGCCGCGCTTACACCAGCAGGCTTTCCTTCCCCCAATGGCACGGACTCACGCAAACGCACTTGCCACCGAGGTCATGCAACACCACATGGCGCAGCGACATCACCTTTCGAAAGCTTTAGCTGTTAGTCTACTGAAGAATCACTATTCTAATGAAGGTTTTTGTAGGGGAAAAGGAAGACCCTTCGATCTGGAGCTTTTTTGCATTTTTGATACGAGTTTAATAAAGGATTTTATATAAAATTTTACTGATTTACTTTTTGGTTTTGAAGCTCTTCCCAGGTGACCCTATCTTGGACCCCCCGATTTCAGGGACCCCCTATTTAAAAAAATGCGACCGAGGTTTCCTTATTAGGGGGGGGGGGCCCTCGTGTCTTTTATTAGGTGGACCGGATTAGTCTATATCATATCTATATAATATCTATTTGACTATCATGGCCTGGCAGCTCACAACTCAGGTAGCTTGGCATCAGTGCAACCTTCATGAAACACACCATTCTTCTGAGATTGCGTTCCTGCAGACCAAGTATGTGAGCGAATTGTTTTGCACCTCCGCAGTTCTTACGTCGGGTCCTGTAATGCAAGACTTGGTGAAGGCAGCGCCCCTCAGCTCTAAAATGAAGAACGTTGTTTGTCTGTTCGGCTTGTATATAAGTACCCACACATAAACAAACAATACAATACATTGTAGATTAATATCAATACGCTCAAGCGCTATTGCAATTAAACTTACAATATGATTCAGATTCATTCTAGTCTAGTATTAGTATTTCATATTAGATCCAATGAGTTGATCATGCAGGACTATACCGCTATACCGCATTACACAATTACACTTAATACATGCACGGGCGCTTGCTTGAGAGGGGTGAT